TTAAAGACCTAAATATTCCATACTAAATAAATGACCTATACTCTCCTATTGCATCTCCATCCTCCTGCCACAAATAAGATGGGAATGAATCCCCTCTTCAAAGATTACATCTTTTTTCTATAAATTCAAGCTGTGTTGTTTCAAATTCTATAAGATTTACATTATTTGACCCAAAACTAGATGATTTCGTTTAGCCAAAATAGAACACCTTACCCACAGGAAACAGAACACATGGCAACCCATCTGACTGCTTCTCAACTTAACTACATTTGTGTCAGTGCCTGTGAGGATGTGATTCTTATAACTTCACATCCTGCCTGCCCACAGGGCCATGACATTCAATCAGAGCTACTAGCCAACTTTATGTTAACTTTTGCAAAAGCTCACAAATTGAGTGTTCAGAAACAATTGCTCAAATATATTTACTTCTATAATAGGAAATGTATTATGTCCCAGCCTTCACTTAACAGATAGAGCAAATCTTGAAGGGTTCTACTTCTCCTCAGCTTCATTTTAAAAAATATTCAGTGGAACAGTTAAATGTGGCAGAAGCACTAATGGAAGTGAATTCAGAGAATCTTACATTTATGGCTCTCTTTCTTCATGTACACATAATTTAGGACTGATCAGTCAGACTTTAGACTTCTTGTAACCACTGAATTTATACTCACACCAAATTTGAAGAAAAAATACTGAAGGACCAATCAGTTCCCTACTGCTAGTCAATATTCAGCTGTCAGGGTGACACAGGTTTGATACTGTCTCATGTTCTCCCCACGTAACTGTTTATTGCCTCCCACACTGTCCTGATTCATCCCACTGTTCCTCAACACCACCTCCTCTGTTCTCTGTACTGTGAGCTCATGTTGTAGGTATGCCAGAGCAGAACAGGTTTGTCAGGACAAGTATTGCCTGGTAACTGATTTTATTTACCCACTTCTTGGGATTTACACTCTTCAATATAATAAGAGGAAGGACATTTTCTTCCAAGACTGATGTAAAAACTTTTGTGATTTGGCCATGACACTACTCATTTGGGAAAAAAAAAAGGAAAATAAATAATCCTTTCAGTCAACTTGAAACTTCCTGTGTATATGAGTCACTTTCAGGGTTTCTTTTAGTGCTGAAAATATTTTACAGTCTTGATATTAGTAACACTGCTAAACATGGGTGTTTCCCTTTTCCTCAGACTCATTCCTGCTCACAGACTAGAGCTCAGTGATTACAGCAGCCGAACCTCAGTGTCAAATCTCCTCTTTGGCATATGCCACTCAGCATAGGTTAGTCTCTGGGCGCTGAAGCACTGTTGTGAGCTATTCTTGCTTTTCACTGAAGCTACTATTTTTATCTATTTTCATTTTCATTCACTGGACAGAAGACTAGAGTACAGTGGTCCCCCTCTCTGGTCACTGTCTGCCACCAGGCTGTCCTCTTCCTCTAGGCACCATCTCCTTGTCTTCTGGTGTTTCAAGCCCTTCAGCATTTTATTGGAAATGTGTCAGTATAAAGATTCTTTTAGTTATCCAAAAATCTCAGAGGAAAACAGACTTGTCATGAACACAAAACCTTTTTACTTCAATTTCACTTCTCCTAACAGAAAATGTCTGTGATTTACACAGTTCTCAGAGGGCCTTACGCTTATGTACAAGAGAGGATTTTCTCAGCCTCTGGACTATGCTACAGAAGCTGCTAGCTGAGGGATGTGATAGGGGAGTTGTCCTATGTCCCCAGGCAGCAGAGTTACAGAGACTAATAACTTTCTGTGTGCTTTTCTAGCACCCCAGGGCACAACTGTGGTTTCTGTCTCAGTTCAATGGTGGGTTAAAGTGTCTGCCTTCTCTTCTACCCTTGTAGACAGGCAACCTGTACTTGCATTTTCTGTAGCTCAGAGGGGAGTTGTGCAATAGAGAGCACCAGTATCTACCAACAGTGGGTTTCTTCACTCTGCTTGCAGCTGGACTTCTCCAGCAGTTACTGAGCATAGCTGGTGGATGAATGATGTGAAGATGTGGTACACTTTATTAATAAACTGGATTCATGTTTTGTTGAAAGGGACGATCACAGTAGAATGAAACTTCTGCTGGGAAAAGACTGGTCTGTAGCAGCCTGCTCCACAACTTCAGTCAGTTCCTGCTGAAGCATGTTGGAACTTTCTGTTATATAGTACATAACACTGAATTCAGTACACTGAATCCTTGATTAGCCTGATCCTTGACGAGCAAAACAATGTGAAAATGGTTATAGCATACTCTGGAATTAAACATAATTACATTACATAGGATATTATCATGGTAAATACAATCACTTGAAGTCAGAAAACTGAATATTAAGATACCTTTCTGCACACCTATCCCAAAGAAATATGTAATTAAATTATTAGGTATGTTAAAGGCTTTGAGTTAAACATCAACATTAATAATGGTGGCTAAAACTCAGACCGTTTAGATGTTTGCTGTGGAACTTGAATGCTTTGGTGACACAGCTGTGATGCTCTGCCATTGTTTCCCTCAGTCCACGCCTCCAAAAAACTGTGGGGGGAAAAATCAAGTTAGAAGAGTAGTGCAGGCTCTATTCAGCAGAGTCCTCTTTTCTCTCATCCCAGTAAGCCTCTAAGTGTGAGAGGCTTCTAAAAATGGAGAATGAGTGATTCATAAAAATGGAAAACTGAAGGAGGCTGGTTAATAAAACTGTTCAGCTACCCAGCCACAGTTTCCTATGACCACTGAAGTGAGGTGTGTTCTTAGGCAAACATTTTCTAACCTTTAAACAAATATTTAGCTTGAAGGTTGGGAACATACTGTTTTATAGCAAAGACATGACCATTCTCTATCACGAATGCAACTGTACCTACCAGATGTTGAAATAAATTAAAAATTGTATTATGAAACCTACCATAGTTGGTACATTTGATCAAAATGGATCCCAGCATGTCACACGTACTGTTTTAAATGGTTTTTCTATTAGAGGTAGAGGTACTCAGCCATTTGGAATTTGAGGGGACAAGTGAGTAACTAATTGGATGGAGTTAGTTAAGCATATCAAATCAGTCAATGAGGTTCCTTGACCTCTTTTTGTGTAACAATGTTTAAATACATGCTGCCTTAGTGCAATGCAATCAAACATTTGTTTGGAATACTCCCTTCCAAAGCTTGTCTGCATTACACTCTCAGACAGTATAATCAATTTTTATTGCTATTGACTGAGATTGCCTTTTTCCTACACATCACTAGTTTATATTACAAAAATATGCTGATGAAAGGTGCTAAAGTGGTGGTGTGGGGATGTGACATCTCTGCCTCTGTCTGTCCTTTTGTCAATTAACTTCTGGATATACAGCATGGATTTTCTTCAGCTCCTCATTTCAAGCCCTTGCCCTAATTTAATTGTGCTGCACTTCCGTTGGGTGCTACAATTTCTACATATAAATAGTTTGGAACCACTTGCAACAGTCAAGCAGTTCAGCCATGGGGGAAAACTTTACCCGCCTACTAAAACACCCAGGTGTCCACAGTGCCCCCTCCCCAGCTGTATGATGCACAGACACATGTGTGGGCCGGCACATGTGTGCGTTCCCGGCACAGCATCGAGAGTCTGCCTGCTCGGCCTGTCTCGTGTGTACCTGCCACATCCCCCAAGTGCACTACTGACCAAGCATTCAAGCAGCTGCTTTTTGCATGTATGAACATATTTACATTTTGATCATGAAACAAGGCTAGTGGGAGTGCGGGCCATGTTTAAGTCCCTGGAATGGCTCAGCTATGGTTGGCAATGGGGAATGGACCGGGAATTGGATGAGCTGTTCTGCCAGACCAGATTAATCCCACAGTTTCATGTAGCTGTTCTATAACAGGAAATGTTGACACATTGTTTTAAGTTTCTAGCATAAAGCATTATTTTGTGCCTTTCGTTTTTCTCTCTTTTCCCATGGTAGCCTCAGAGCTTAAGATAGGTTGCTGGATTTGATTTACTCTGTCCAAACTCATTGGCTCAGCCCTAGTAGGGTTCTAATTTACAAGCTACTACTTTGTGACTGTAGTATAAATGCCATCAGCTGAGAGGTGAAAGGGAACTGGCAGAGCCTTGCGGGATGTGACCCGAGAATCTCGTCTCTCTCCTTTACCAGAAGCTGCCTTTATTCACCCTAAGGGATACTTTAGGAAGCTATAATTTTCACTGATCCTTTCCATCTGGTAAGTTAACTGTGTGGTTGCTGGCCAGAGTTTGAGATGGACGAAGAAAGAAGCATTCAAAGTGAAACTTGCAAAGATCACTGGCTGTGACTACACAGCGGGATGGCTGAACAGTGCCTTTGTATTCATCCTGGACGCTGCTTTGAGCACTAGCTGGGCACTTCACACAATTAAAAAGTGTCTCCAGAAACCCAGCACAGTAGCAAAGACTCCTTTAGCTTGTATGGAGGGTTGCTGGAGGTCAGCTAGTTCAAATTGCACCCCCTAAAAGGCCCCATTTTGAAGTTATGGACCTGAGGGAGGACATTATTGCCTGACATCTGAGTTTCTCCTTGAACTCATCATGTCCTGAACTGAATGAAATTCAGCCTCCTGCTTCACACTGCGTCACCTTATTCTGCTTTGAAATGTGAATGAATAAATAAATAGTAATAATAAAACAACTCAATAGTGGAAGGAATTGCTGTTTTGGGAGTTTCCTACTGTAGGGGGTGGGGAGCAGCGAGGCAAAGAAATCTCCAGAGACTTTGTGTGGAAACGGGAATAAACCGCCGCTGCAGCGCGGGGCCGGGGCGCTCTGGATCGGCTTCGTTGAGCGCCAGCGGGGGATCCCCCGCGCTCCCCACGCGTTACTCGGTGACAAGGAGCAGAAACGAGAGAAAGCGCCGGCGCCCTGGCAGCCGGCGGCAGAGGCGTGGGGCGGGTGAGCCGGCGGGACCGGGCGGCTGGCGGCAGCAGGGGCAGCATCAGCAGCAGGAGGCCCTGCCTCCCTCCCTCCCTCCGCCGCGGTACCTGCGCCGCGCGGCCACGTGAGCGCCACATCAGCGCCGCTCCGCGCCTCCAAAGTCACCCAGCGGCCGCACAGGGGGAAGGCGCCGGCAGCGCTCCCCCTTCCCTTCCCTCTGTCCCTCAACTCCCGCTCCCCCTCGGCATCCCGGCCCGGGTCGGTGGCGCAAGCCGACCCCGGCTCGGGAAGATGCTGCAGTCGCTGGCGGGCAGTTCCTGCGTGCGGCTGGTGGAGCAGCACCGCTCCGCCTGGTGCTTCGCCCTGCTGGTGCTGGGCTACCTGCTCTACCTGGTGTTCGGCGCCGTGGTCTTCTCCTCGGTGGAGCTGCCCTACGAGGACCTGCTGCGCCAGGAGCTGGGCAAGCTGAAGCAGCGCTTCCTGGAGGAGCACGCCTGCCTCTCAGAGCAGCAGCTGGAGCAGTTCCTGATGCGGGTGCTGGAGGCCAGCAACTACGGCGTCTCGGTGCTCAGCAACGCCTCGGGAAACTGGAACTGGGACTTCACCTCCTCCCTCTTCTTCGCCAGCACCGTCCTCTCCACCACGGGTAAGGGGAAGGCGCCGGAGGCCTTCCGGGGAGGCCCGGACCCCCTCAGGGCCGCCGCGGAGATAGAAGGGCTGGTTTGGGGGCGGCCGAGGCTGTGGGAGAGGGGCCGGGGCCCGCCGGCCCCCGGATGTCCAGGGCCGCGGGGCCGCTGCGACCTCCGGCCCCGGGCGTTCGGGGGCGGCGGCGCTTGGGCTCCCCAGTAATCGTTACTTCCCAGACTCTCGTGTGTGAGAGGCATGTTTTATGTAGGATGCATCACCCGTATTTGAAACCCGCCCTAATTCAGCGTTAAGAGCCAGGTTGTCAGGTCCCCCCACCTTGAAATCATTGGCGGTTTCGAAAATCCGGCGTAATGGCCATCTCTTTCTTTGAACTTTTAAATTATTTTAGGGGTGTCTCCTGTGCGTTTCTTTCAGGCTGATTTGGGGGGAGAGGGGAAAACTGCTAACCGGAGCCTACTGATGAAGTTAAACTTCAGTTTCATATTTTACTGTCAATTTCCATTTAACGTTTGCATGTAAAAAACTGAAAGATAATGCTTATTTTCTTCCAAATAGCAGTTTTCATTGGTGTTTTGAAAAGCTTGAGGAAGCATTCATCTGACCATAGTTTTTATAAGCACTTTTTTTTCAGCAATTAGATTTCACTTAAGAGCATAGTGGACAGATTTCTCCTAAAGGATGACTGGAGACGTTTGTGCTGGGAAGCTGGGCTCTGGTGATTTGAATGCAGCTCACTGAAATAAATAACAAAGGCTTGTCGAATAAGAAAAGCGTTAAAAGAATCACCCTAAAATTTGTCCAACCAGAGGGCTTTGAGTCTTGGCAAAACATTGATACTACTATAAAAGATGCACTGTTTCTTTTTTTTTCCCCTCTCCCTGCCCCCAAGTTAGCACTCCTTCTATTATGGGAAATGTAATCAGCAGATATTAATAATGACCTTTAATAATTTGCTTGATCTTATTTTGGTGCTTCCTGACTGATTTCAAACAGGCAATGCTTGTCCTGTGAATATTGCTATTGAGTCTAGAGATTAGGGTGTCTGCTTGTTGTAAGGAGGTTGTGTTTGTAAAAAGTAAACCAGGGTTATGGGTGTCAACGCAACACTTCCCCCTCTGCATATTAATAACTAGAGTTAAAGTTTGTATGAAGAGAGAAAGTGACATGCTTGTGACAGTTGAACGCTCTCAGTGAATAAATTTCTAAACATTAATCAATGTATAGTATTACTGTGAGTGGAAAAAACATGGAATTGTGGTAATACTTCAGCACTCAAATTTTTACTTTTTTTGTTTTTATTTTTTTCCTTTCAGTAAAACTGTAAAGCACTTTAAACTTAAGGTGCCTAATTGACCTTATGTTCTCATTCCTAATCAGTTACGCTGTCTGTTACTATGAAATGTAAATTATTTTATCCGAGAGCTATTTTTTTATTCAAATTATTTTTTCTATAATAACCCACTTTTTAGAAAGAAAAAGCTATTGAGAAAGGTCCTGCTTTTCTATATGTTCTTGCACAGTGTACTGCATGTAACTTCTCTCTCTCTTTTTTTTTTTTAACCAGACAAATCCAATCCACAGTCCCTGCAGTTTATTATTTTTAAATCTGGCAGTATTGATTTCAGAGATGAATCAATCAAAATATGTTCACAATCAGGACAGTGGGGGTGGGACTGAGTTCATAACACCTTAGTACTGCCTGGTAATACATAGCTGCATGTTTTAATGTGTTTGAATTCAGTAATATAGTTCAGGCAGAGATATCTCTTTGCCACTGCACATCTGCTTAAGGGCAAGGCATAACCTGGCCTTACATGTGTGGCTGACTTGATCATAGAGGCCCTACAAGAAAAGAAGACACAAGGTACCATTGTCCAAATGGAAAACCTGTTAGAGAACTCCACTTAAGTGGCATATCCTCAGAAAAGACAGAGGTCTGAAATGCATGAGTTATCATTATTTCTGTCAGTTTCATAAACTGAAGTTCATCTAGTCATCACTGATGTAATAGGTCAATATTATAGATCAAATGGTGGTACTTCCTTCTATGTCCAATAGTCCTTTGCACTGGGCCCCTTTTAACAAAATCTGTTTCTTCTTTTATGTAGTAGTCTTTAGCTGCACTTGATTCCTATTTAATATAAATAACTTGTACAAGGTAGACAGGTATAAATCCAGATCAATGTAATATGACCAACACTTATTCAAATACTCCCCAGAGCCTGCAGATTTCTGGTGAGGTGCATTTTTTCTCCCTAATTAACTCTGCACCTGTGCAAGAAATATTTCAAGGCTCTTGAAATGGCCATGAAAACGGAAGACAAGGAGCAGAACCTGCCTGGTCACTTCAAACAGCTGTTCAGAAGTGTTTGAACATTTAAAAAATGCTGTACTATTACAAACTGTGCACCTGAAATGCCCTCTCTTTGCCAAGTACAGTAGAACAAAAGCAGAAAAGAGAACTCTGGTACTGGTGGTACCAACTGAGGGTTGCTTCTTGTGCATAAGTGAAATTGCAGGGAGCACCAGGATGTTCCATATGTTCAGCTTACTGAATTTGTCATTCATCATGTAAATAAATGCACACCTACCCTTTGCACAGAGGACAAGGCTTCTTTCATAGCCTTTTAGTATTCTATATAAAACATGTAGGGAAAGTGTTTAAATATAGCATCCCTGACTTCACTTGTTCCTTCCTGTCCTTATTATATTCTTTGGCTTCTTACTCACTAGAGAAAATCCTTGAAGAAAGTGATAAAGTCATTTAAGTATTTGGAAAAAAATCATAAATGGAGGGAGTTTGCAGAATAAACACAGTAAAAGCAAATTGTTACTTGAAAGCAGTTTATGTTGCTGCACACATGGGCTGTCACAGGACTGTCACAAGCTGCCTGAAGGACGGGCAAACAAAGGGCAGTGAAATGGGCTGGTGGTGAGGCTTCAGCAGATTGTAGAAGTGACTGGCAGAACATTTCTCTTCTAAAGACTTTATTCCTCCCTATGCAACTTAAGCAGTCATGCAGAAGGCCATACAAGCCATGTGTAAGAGAAAGCAATTAGGTCACTAATAATTGACAACATAAACAGTAAGACTATACAACTGTGTGCATTTAAATAATGTGTGTCTTGGAAACTCTCTGTAATTTATGACCTTATACATATCTGTGGTTGTCGCTTGTCTCAGTGCTAGATGTCATGAATCATCGTGCTGGAGCAGTTCCTTCTGATTGGCTTTGTTGTGGGACCATCTGTACTAATGTCTTTTGTTACTAACAATAAAAATGAAGTAATTTTTTGCACTCACTCTTCTGGGTGGTGTTTTCACTACTCTTGGCAATGTCTACGTTCTTATCCCATATTGGTGCAATATGGGAAGACTGCACTACATGAATTGTAAGCAGAATGAAGTAATTGAAGAAATAGATATTGGTTGATATTGGCTGTGTTGCAAGATATGAAGAGTACAGTGACTTCTTTTTTTGAAGGAAAATAGATAGGGAAAGATAGGAAATGCTGATTTGGGAACTTGAGGCCTATATTTTTATATTTGTTTTTGGAAGGAGTCTTCTCAGTGCAGGAATGTCCCATGCAAACTTTATGCAAACAGACCATAAGTCTTATTCGGACTGTCCAGCTTTGAGTATTTTTGCCTTCATCTGAAACACAAACACGGCTGTAGATTTCACTTAACATTTGCATACCAGAAGGATGCTGAAAAAGATCCTTCTCTGTTGTGGTAGGGTTGGCAAGATATCCACTAGAAGGAAGCTAGGATAACCTTGCCCTGATTTAGGGATTTGCAGAGGAGGGGTGAGAAGTTGCATCTTCTGTGATGGCAGTGCATGTTTTAAATCTTTTGATTGAGGTCAGGTGGCCCCATTCCTCTGAGCCACAGGAGTCAAGACAGTAAGAGAAGAGAACTGTTAGTATTCAACCACTTTCAAAGCCTGTAATGTAGTTGTCTGCAGGGTGGTTTGTGTAAAGCAGCATCTCCTCCATAATTTGGCTTGTACCAGTTTCGTTGTTGGCGCTGAGGATGAGTGTATTGTGCTCCACTGCAAGGAATGTCGCCCAAGATCCACGATGTACTGAATTCAGGTTTCTGCTTGTTGTGTTTTGAAGAGAGTACGCAGGAGTTGTAGATAAATGGTGACACTGGCTATTAGTTTGAAAGTGCTTGGTTTAAGGGCTAGTAGAGAAGAAACATGGCTTTCAGGGAAAGTTTTGCATTCACGTTAAATAGCTTACAGGAGTTTTACTGGCAAGCAGTATGAAGAGTTAATGCATATATCATTTGATTCATAAGGATGTTCTTTCTTAGATCTGACTCACATAAGCATTGCTACTAATGACTTGCCAGAGAAACTTTACTGTGCCTTTATTTACGAAAATTAGCAGGCTTTGATGTTGTGTTGGAGTAAGTGGATGCACTGCAAAAGAAAGTTCATTACAGATCTTAACAAATCCATGGAATATGAGGTAGTGCCATGAAAGCATCACAATGGAGCATTGCAAAGACATCATAAGATATGTAGTCTCTTACAGTAGAACCCTCAGATGGATGAAACTACCTGTGTCTCTCATACCTTATGGAAAAATGTGAATTCGACTTAAATAGAAAGAGGATAGTTCACAGAGGCTTTAGGGAAAGTGGATTTTTTTGTCTCATACTTGAATTCAATGTAAAATGCATATTTTATGTTGCTGCTGTCACAATATGTGGGCTGTGTCCCTGGCGATGCCTGTAGTATCTCATTAATACACACCAAATAAATACATTTCATAATTCATACGAAACTTATGTCTAGAGACCAGTCATAAGATTCTCTGTTGCTTCTTATATGAAAATATGGAAACTTTGTGATGGATTAAACTCAGATTGGTCTCACTAGTAGTCACTCCTGACTCCAGCAGAAAACTGAAGCTTCACTGTACTGTTGCTCTGACTGTAGCACTCATAGATTATTTAAATTGGTGCGATGAATTGCAGCTATTCAC